GATTAGAGGTTTGAGGGTAAAGTTTTACTTTAGAGGCTGATGCACGGGGATTTCTTGAGCCCAGGAGTTCCAGGCCAACCTGGGCAACATAGCAGGACCCTGACTTAAAAAAACAAAACAAAACAAAAAAAAAAACCCACAAACAAACAAACAACAAAACCCAAACAGTTAAAAGGTGACTCTCAAACAAGAAGGGTATAACTTTAGGTCCCTGTTCAACAAGGGAATAACTTTAGGTTACTGTTATGTGGATAACTGAGAGCTGCCTTCTTCACCAGATATTTCTTTCTCAAAGTTCACTCCACCCATCTGTCCATTCTCCCTCCTTAGGGCTCAAAGCTCTCAGTCTGAGAGTTAAGGTAAGGAGAGGGAAGGGAAGTATCCAAGCCCGATTTTCTGTGTCCTCAGAGGAAAGTCTTAAATGTGGGGAAGGGGCTTAAGATCTATATTTACTCATCCTTTGGGAGTTGTTCTGCCTAGGAAGAGAAGTTTTGAGATTTCTCAGAATTCTTAGCTCTCTTCCAAAAGTCCCAAGTAGTGGGTCCCTAGGAAAAGGGTTCTGTTTCCATAGCAGGGTGTTACATGGCAAGGGTGGAAGAGGGTGGAGGTAGGAAGCACAAGCCTTTCAGCCAGATGACCATGGCTAAAATTCTTCTCTCTCTCTCTCTCTCTCTCTCTCTCTCTCTCTCTCTCTCTCTCTGCTGGGGATCAAACCCAGGACTTTGCACATGCTAGGCAAGTGCCCTACCACTGAGCTACTTCCAAACCCTGTCTCTTCCTTTTTTTTTTTTTAATATTTATTTTCAGTTATAAGTGGACACATAGCTTTATTTTATTTTTATGTGGTGTTGAGGATCGAACCCAGTATTTCACACTTGGTAGGTGAGCGCTCTACCTCTGAGCCACAATCCCAGCCCCCTGTCTCTTCCTTTGATTAGCTGTATAACTCTGAGCAAGTTACCTGACCTGTTTTGCTTTAGTTTCTTCATTGGAGAAATGGAAAAAATTATCGGGAACTAAAAAACAAAACAAAACAAAAACACAAAATAACAACAACAAAACAAAACACAGCAACCCTGTAGTCCATGATTTTTTTTTTTTTTTTTTTTGGATAACTCATCTGGTGGCTAAACATGATGTGAATGGAAGTGAGGTTATTCATGTTCTTTTAAAAACATTCCACTGAGGGCTGGGGTTGTAGCTCAGTGGTAGAGCACTTGCCTAGAATGTGTAAGGCACTGAGTTTGATACTCAGCACCACATTAGAAAAATAGATAAGATAAAGTTATAAAAACTATTTAAAAAACCCCAACACATTCCACCAGGACTTTTTGTGCCACTTAGACTTCAGAAATATTTGGTTATGGGATGCTACCCTGGGGATATATAACATACTATTAATGTACCATTTTGTCTTTCTAAAACTTGAAAACTTCAGGTCAGGGGAGTAGTTCAGTGTTCTTAGCATGCAGGAGGCCCTGGGTTCAATCCTTAGTATCAAGATAAATAAATAAGGGGCTGAGGTTGTGGCTCAATAGTAGAGCGCTCACCTAGCACATGTGAGGCATCAGGTTCAATCCTCAGAACCATATAAAAATGAAATAAAGATCATGTCCACCTACAACTAAAAAAAAAATAATAAAAAAATTAAATAAAACTCAAAAATTTCTGGATTCTGAATTATGTCTAGCCCTAAAAATTTGGAATATGTTATAATAGATTTGTAATGATGATCTTAGTAGTTTTGAGAATTCACTAATTTTATAAAGCTGTTGTAAACAGTAGTTGACATAATAAATGCTTAGTAAAAATTATTATTTCTGTCACATAGGCTTGTTTGTGGGCCAGAGTACCCTCATCTACATATATGCTGAAGAAACTTTACAAGTATTTGCTATTTAGGATGCTCCTTTCCTTTATGACATACCCCAAACTTCCATGTGTATAATGCAGTCACTTAGCAACTCATCTCTGCTGCTCACCATTACACTCCTGGATCAGTTTTTGATTTGCAATACACCTGCTTAAAATAGATATATTACATGAATAAATGTTACAATCTAGGCTGCTTCTCAGTTACACCCAAGTCCCCTAGACTGAACGGGTGTGTGTCAGAGATTCTTGGCTCCCTGCCACCTCTTTTTTGGTTTTGAAACTTTAAAAATTTTATTTTTATTTGTTCTACTTAGTTGTACATGGCAGCAAAATGCGTTTCTATTCATTGTACACAAATGGAGCACAACATTTCAATTCTCTGTACGCGGTGTAGAGACCCATCATTTGTGCAACCATACATGTACCTAGGTAATGATGTCCATCTCATTCCACCATCTTTCCTACCCCCATAACCACTTTGGCTCTCTT